AAAATAAAAAAAATAATATATATATACAGAGTATGGCATACAGCATAAAAATCGTAGAAAAATAAATAAATAAATTGCAAAAGATTTAAAAGTAAAAACTTACAAATAATTATGAAAATAAATGAAAATACATACATGTTTTTATTAAACAACAAATGGCTGACAATTTTAAATTTATATGAGCAAAAGATGAAGAGGAAAAGCAACTTTAAAAATTATATATAGAAATTTAAGCATTTATTCATGCACGAGTAAATTTATTTTATTTCGATATTTGTATAATTCATACACACACACATACACACAGGCTGAAATTTTTTACATAAATATAGCTGAGAAAATTGAAATAAAATAATAATAAAAAATGCAAAGCGAAATACACGCTCACACACACACACACACACACACACACACACACATACAGATCAATTGATGGCGCTTTTGAATGCAAGAAAAATTTAATAAAACAAATAAATAAAAATTGAATTAAAAATGATAAATATTATAATGTTAATTAGCAACTAAACATGAAATACAAACAACACTAATACACACACACACACACATAGAAAACAGCTCACATATGCTTAAAGTGAAGCTAAAGCTGCAAATTAATGTTCATTATTATGGCTAAAAGTATATTTTTTTTCTATGCAAAAGCTACAAATTGATAAAAATAAAATTTAAAAAAACACACACACACACACATAAAAATAAAATACAAATTAAAATAATTATAAAATTTATGCATATTGATATACGCTACGATTCTAAACTAAAATTAAAAGCGCATGAAGAAGGGATAATTGAAAGTCAAAAAGTTGCATAAGGAGAAAACCTTAACGATTAAAATTAAATAAATTAAATTTAAATTAAGGCAAAAACAAAACAAGAAAACAAAAACAAAAGACATTTAACAAGCAAGTGAGCAAGCATTAAAACCAACAACAACAACAAATTATTATGTTCAATAAAGAAAACAAAGAAATCTTACACGAATCATAATCGAGTTTTCATTTCCTTCTCTCCCAGCCTGTTTGCTTTCAGCTCAAAGGTGGGTAAATGTTTGCCTTGGCCGTCTTTGATCTGCAGCTGAGGCGCCCCGGGTTCAATTGCAACAACTGCTGCCCAGGCAATGGGCCAAGCAATTTAACAGCCACGCCCCAACGCCCACTCAGCCAACACTCGGCGCCCATTAAGTGCGCTCCAATTGCAGTCAAAGGCCGAACTCTGGCAAGCGTAGTCGACCCACAGATGCCCTGCACAAGGCGGCCAATACAGATGTATAATATGCACACATATGCCACTCTCTCCATGTTCATAGACCTCTATGACCGCGCTCTATATCGAGTTACTTCTTTTGAGAGGCAACAGCAGCAGCTATCAAATAAAGACAAATCTCCGATTTGGACAAATCTCCCATTCGAGTATGCAAATAAGCGCGCAGTCAACTTGAGTAATACCTCCAAGGACAGACACTATTGGTGTACATATACATATACATATATACATACATTTCTCTTGATAATTTCAGCATTGAACCACAGGACGTATACGTAATATGAATAGCAGCATCAAGTATACGCCGTGTTAAGCACTTAAGCGGCTGATGAGGCATTTAAATGTAGCTAAAGCTGGCTTTGCCTTTAGAGCGGGCTCGAGAGCTGTTCCCGGTAGAGCATCAATTAAGCAGGCGTAGTCGATAGACAGCTATGCAGTACTCTCCAGAGATGCATATCAAATATATACGCAAATATAATTATATCCATCCAATCATTAAAACGTCAATATTTTCGCTGATTGGCCGTGGCCACAGTAATGCCATATGCCCATACGGCGTATACTTGATAGCAGTCTCCGGAGCAGCATCAAGTATACGCCCCGTGCAGCACTTAGCCAGTTGACGCTCAGACAGCAAGAAGTTAACAGTTTTCGCATTGACCAGCTGTCCAAATGCGCGACATGCACAAAGCGCAGCAGCAGTTGCAGCAGATGCAGCAGCAGCAACAACAACGACAACAACGACAGCAATAAGGAAAATGTCGCAATTGCTGGGGTGGGGCAGCCCACTTGAGGCTATGAGCACAGCCTTGGCGCTTGTCGTCAAAAGTCATATCTGTGTGCATATTATGCGACTGGCGCGCGGCGCGCGGTGCGCTGCGCTGTGTGTTTTCTGGAGCGTGTAATATCCGCTTCCTGCATTTCCGGTTAGCGCTTTTTCCATCGCGTATACGTAATATTTCCACAAGACGGCGACGATGGCGACGCCGGCGAAGCTGCCACCAAATTGCTAGCGGAAATGCTGCAAAATTAACGAGCATGAGGCACAGCAGGCAGACACACACACACACAGGACAGATGCCAAGAAACTGAGAGAGAGAGAGAGAGAGAGAGAGAGAGAGAGAGAGATGGAGAAGGGAGCTGTGGATAGACTATGTTGGCATTACTTACGTTGCGCACGGCACACAGTGAATGCAAACATTTTTCCAAGCACCAAATGCAAATTCTTCACGAGTTTTCTTTCGCTCTGCAGCAGCAGCAGCAGAGACTGTAGCAGCAGCAGCCGAGGCAGCGACAGCGACAGCGACAACAGCTGCAAATTAGATGCATCACTTAACCGGCAATGACATAAAGCTGCCAAGTGGCGAATGATGATGCCGAATGGGCCGCGGCCACCCTGCAGCCCTCGACAATCTCAATTTATGAAAGCAAATAAGCGAACGAAGTCAGAGTCAGAGAGCTTGAGACTGCGGCTGAGGCCCAGGCTGAGGCCGAGGCTGAGGCTGCCCCACGAGCAGATACCCCGTCCAAGCGAGAAGAGAGTCAGAGCAGTCAGAGTCCTTGACTTGACCTGCACTGGAATCAAATTAATATTCCCTCTAGCCACCTCCTTCTGCTTACAGGGTATCCACAGGTGTCCCTTGACAGAGCCGGCGCCATACTGAGCTGTATATGTAATTTGATCAGCTGCGCGTTACAAAATTTCGCAGAGCTCGACTGATGCGCGCTTTGGTTGAGGTTTTCAAAGTTAGGGTGAAGGCAGGGAAGCTATCTCGATAGAGAGTAAGATTAACAGTCACTTGCAAATCCATAATCTGTAATACAGTTATATCAATAAGCTACAAAATGAAAATCTGTATCAGGAGCGGACTTCTTATTGCCATTCTCACAAGACAATTTTTTGAGAAGCCTTTATAGCGATCTGCAAATCAATCTCTCAAGTTATCTCTCTACTACATTTTTACTCTTCCTATCTCTCTTACTCTCAGTTATTATATCTGTCTCTGTCTCTATGTGCGCCTCTATCTCTCTTTCTCTCTCTCTCTCTCTCTCTCTCTCTCTCTATCTATCTCCCTCTCTTTTGTCCTCTCTCTATAGAGATATATCTCTATCTCTTTCCCTTCCTTGCACTCTATCTTTTCCAATCTCTCTTTATTCCTCGCTTCCCCCTCTCTCTCTCTCTCATTCTCTCTCTCTCTCTCTCTCTTCCTCTCTTCCTCTCTCTCTATCTGATTTCAACACTACATCTATCTCTTCTATCTAATTTATAACCCTTCTTTTACTTTCGTTATCCCTCGCTGCAAACTTAAATCACTTCTTAGCTCCATCCACATGCTGCCGCCTCAGACTCCTCCTCCTCCAGCGCATTCTCGTCTCTTCTTAATTAGCTGCTCAGATATCTCTAATTTGCACTCATATGCAAATCCATTGAAGTGTTGTTCGCCTGGGCCGCAAGCCGACGCCTCTCTGCCGATGCCTCTCTGTCCACTTCAGCTGTGCTCCAGCACCTCATTTGTCTCTGTCCCCGCTTCCGATGTCCTGTCGTCCATCCGTCCGTCCGTCCCTTGCCTGCCCCCCTCTGCCAGCTGGCCAAACTGTGCCCTTATCGTGTGCTGCTTCGTGTGGCATCTTTGGACAGTGTTGAAAAGTGTGCTATGTCGCGCACACATGGCACATAATTGAGTGACAACGCGGTTGCAGCATTTACCATGTCCACAACGGTAAGGACTACGCAGTGGATCGGTGGCTGTGGCGAGGGGTGTGGGGTGGGTGGTGCGGAGGGGTAGACAAGCCTCGGCAGCAGCTCGAGAGGGCAACGTCAACGCACAGCCGCAGCGCATTTGAATTTGTAATGAGATTACACACGCACACACACACACACACTCGCATGCATAGAGCCTGTGTGAGGTCATGCCAAATGAAATGAAATGTGTCCCCGCCCGAGAGAGGAGAGTGGGTCAGAGCTGGCCTGGGCCTGGGCCTGGGCCTGGGCTGGGCCAGAGCCCTGGCGGTACGCTCTATGTGTGCCGACTGCAGCGCGCGCGGCGCATTTCCAACTGTTAATTGTGACCATAATTAAGGTGACCTCCACCAACGTGACGAGCTTCATTTGGATTATGCCGAGCCGAAGAGGGCTTTGAACGCTTTTCAATCGATTGTGGAAACTGCGCTCCACCAGCTGCGAGCCGCTTGCCAAACACGATTATTGCAGATCGCATAACAGCCAGCTGGATTATGGCCAAATTAGTAACGTTGACATGCCGCTGACTTTGCCATCGAGCCAGCGGCTAAAGCCCTCTCCGGGTCGAGTTACCGGAACGAACTATAAATACCAAACCACGTGAGATGCAAAATTTGCGGAAATGGAAATGTTTTATAACAAACTGGAATCGAACGGAGAATCTGGAACAAGGCTTAATCGAAATGATATAGGAGCGATTTATAGAGAATTCCGATAGATGAAGGTGAAAAGAGAAGAGAGACAAATAAGCAAATCTAACAAACTAGACTTTAAG